TAGTGACAACATATAGCCTTCGTGTGGCTAGCTTGCTTTATTAATATTAACCAAAAAATAATAAAAAGACTTTAGTAATATAATACTCGGGATTATGACAATAATTTTGCAACAATCCAAGTAATTAGATAGAGAAACTTCAATTTGCTCGAACTCAAATTCGTCTCTCCTTTATGATAACATTGGCTCCATGTATTACAATAATGACACGTTCTAAATAAGCTAAGCCGACGTGGTTTCAAGCTAGCCTAACAGTATTAATTACATATCTGATCTTATGTTGAGGTGTAAAGTTTAATTTCTGCGCTTTTACTTCAAAAATAAATAAGCTACTTTATATGATCAGTTAGAATATATGGTGGATATCCAATTTACTAATGTATTTGTTTCTTTTTTAAGTTGTTAATTAACAACGTATGTTTCAAATTTAATTTAATAACTTATTTTTATTCAAAACTCGAACTTTTATGATTGTATAAAAATTAGGCCATTTTTGGGTGGCTGCAGCTCCTAAGGACAGAAACAACTGTACATGAAGAGGTAGCAGAAAACTCTACAAATAGAAAGGTTAGAGTGATAACAAAATACGGTCTATCATTCTCTTTTATTTTCCACAGTTTTTTCTAAAATAACATTTCTTGCCAAGAAATATGTGTGTCTCCATTCTTTTTCTGAGTTTCTCAGGTACGCTTTGCTTCGTACAATCTCAGACCTCGTTCATTTTACCGATTTGAGTTTAGAGTTCAAATTTTGCTACAGTTAAAAGCTCTCAGAAGCAGTCACATTTAACTTTTTTATTGTAGTAAAAAACTCTAACATAAAATTACATCTCAATTCAAATTAAAAACTTGAATCAGCAAACTAAACGTGCCCTCAATCTCAAGTTCCAAAACCTAACGTCGTGAATTGAAGTGGACTAGACGCGCTGTATCACCACGTGGTAGGGTTTGTGCGTCCCTACAAACCACATGTATCCCATGTGATCATCCCATTTAGCGTGATCCTATTAGCCATGCAACTCTGTGGTCCAAAATGTTTGTAGAATTCATCCCATATTTTGTGAGAAAAAAAGGATATTTAGCATCACAAAAACACCAATTGCATAACTCCGGATGAGGTGGCATGCCTCTATCGGACTAGAAATTAGAGAGTTGCAGAATCCATTAATTTTGGTGATGTGGGATATTGCCAAGTCATACAGAGTTGTATGGAGCTGCGGTTTTACGATGCCGAATAGCATCTCTCATTTTAAAAATACAAGAGCCATATATGTTTGTTACAGAACAAAATTCTGAAGAAGTTATCGATCAGTGATCTTTTTTTTTTATTTATTTTATTTATTTTTTAATTTAAAGGCCCATGCTGAGAAACCTATGGATCATTTTGGTGTCCAAAATTTTAATACCAGATATTGTTTTTGTTCATTGTCAAAAATCTTAATTTACTACTTATGATATGCAGGCCTAAGCTTAGCAATTTAGATTACCATAATATTACTGCGATCTATAAATTAAGGGAGAAAGAGGGAAATAGGCTAAGACTTGAGATGAATTAAAATTAATAGGCCAATAGTTTACATAAGTTAATAAATAGGCTAAATTACTGTTTTCGTCCATAACTAGTCTGGTTATGAACCATACAAGTTATTGTTCATAATTGTCCATAACTTATCTGGCTATAAACCATAACTTGACAAATTTATCCATAACTTATCTGGTTATAAATCATAACTTGACAAATTATGACCTATTAATTTCTATAACTAAAAATTAGCCTATATACTTTCTTAAGCTTTTCATATTGACCTATTTTCTACTATTTCCCATAAATTAATTACCCTCTTCATTAGAAGCATGGTCAATATAAAGAACCTTTCCTTATATTATAGACCACCCCGGCCCTCATGTATTCTAATTAGTATTTTCCGATTTGTTCCATTTTGTTTATTAATTGTTATCATATAGTGAGTGGATCAAGTAATTAAAAGTCATGAAGATAGTAGCTTCCAGATGCTCCTCCTAATCAATAACAAGGAATCCAAACTAGTAATATTCACGTATTTCACTTTCATGTGAATAATAAGATCACAAATATGGGGACCCGCCCCTGTTTATTGGATCCCTCTCCTACCTCCTTTTCTCCCTTACAATAAAACAAAAATTAAAATCTCATATTTTTAAATAAAAATTCAATCAATTTTTCAGTGTGAGATTTGATTAGTTGTTCCTACACCTACATTTAAAAAAAAAAAAAAATTAAAATCACCAACGACAACAGACGTTCCAAAGGACTCGTATGCGAGCACGCACCTTACGGGCACAAATATGTCGCTCCAGGCCAGGCTTGCACGGCTTGATTTTGCCGCTCCCTTTAATTTTTTTTTAACTCTTTTTTCTGGCAGTATAAATGAGTAATAATATCAGAATTAACCTTCCAGTAAAGCCTCAAATTAAAACAATTAGATTAATTAGAGAATTAATTTGGGATTGATACTAGTTTCTAATCCAGAATTACAAGTTGAAAGCGTGAACAACCACCCTGAATCACTATAAATTGGCATCCCTTCTCATTGTTTTGACACTATGAAAATTCTCAGAATGCATCTCATATATTTCTCCGCTCCTAGTCTAGGCTTTTCTCAGCATGATAAGAGTTTGGGTACTTTTTAAGTTCACCGAAGAAGCTTCATCATGCATTGGAGTTTTTTTTGTTGACTGTTGTATTCTAGGAGACAGATGTCAGAATTCCTCAAGCACGGAGAGTGAGAGGCGAATTTGTTTTATGAACAACGATCTTTGAATCTTTGTTATTGCGTTTTTAATATTTTGACGTTGTTGAAATTTGTAATTGTGTTTACTTATTGCACTTTCCAATTTCAATTTACCTGTTCGTTTTTTATTTCTTTTAATTCTATTTTTCTAACAAGCCCAACCCTTACTTTTACGTCCTAAGCGGTGTGGAACTTTTGCCCTCTTTTATTTTGTGTAAGCCTAACACATTTCTATGTTAGTTCATAGAAATCATTGTAATTACTGAATCTTCTCCTATACTATATTTTATTTTTTTTTAGGGGGGGAAAAAAAAACAAAGCAATCATCTAGATAGTGTCAAGTACGTAACACAAGATCCGTGGACATACGCACAATTTTTAATAAGAAGAAACCTTATGTATCAATAAAGAAAATAGAAAAATCATTTCAAATTATTCTTTTCTCTAGATTATGTGAGATTTGATTAGTTGTTCTTACATCTACTTTAGGGTAAAAGAAACCAAAACGGAAAAAAAAATGAAGACAAATAAAAAAGAGTAAAAAAAGATCAAAATGAAGAAATACATAGTTTTAGGGTAAAAAGGAACCAAAACGAAAAAAATAAAATTTAAGGACAAATATAAAAAAGGGTAAAGGACTAAATGAAGAAATAAATAGTTTTAGGGTAAAAAGGAACCAAAACGAAAAAAATAAAATTTAAGGACAAATATAAAAAAGGGTAAAGGACTAAATGAAGAAATAAATAGTTTTAGGGTAAAAAGGAACCAAAACGAAAAAAATAAAATTTAAGGACAAATATAAAAAAGGGTAAAGGACTAAATGAAGAAATAAATAGGTTTTAGGGTAAAAAAAATCAAAAATGGAAAAGATAAAATTTCAGGACAAAAATAAAAAAGAAAGGGCCAAAACGAAGAAATAAATAAATTTTAACCAAAACGGAAAGAAAATAAATAAAATTTTAGAACAAAAATTAAAAAAGGGTCAAAAGAAGGACTAAAGTGATAAAAAAAAATAAAAAAAAATTAGGACTTAAAAAAGGGGGAGGGGACCAAAACGTTGCCATTTTGGTTGAAATGGCAATAAAGTGTCAGATTTTGACACTTCTATTATATCACTAGGGATAGAAAAGTCTCTTAAATAAAAGAAGCAATTTGCTAATCAGTTAATTATTAATTGATGTAATGTGTTATCTAATTAGTTTTTTAATCTATTTTTCGTCTAAATTTCTCTAATTTCCAAAGTAATACTTGTAAGACATTTTTGTGCACAATAAGAATTCTTGTGATGGAGAATAAAAAAACATGAGCAATAGGATAATAATAGTAAAGAAAAAAATAGAACAAATATAGAATAAAATAATTAAAAATCGATTTACTATTCTTTTACTTTTTGAACTCTTAAAAAAACATGAAGAGTGTACAAATAAAGTGAAAGTTGAAAAGAAATTGTTCCACGATAGGAATAAAAAGTTGAGTGCATATATTCAAATAGTTAATACTTAATTACAGTGATAATCAAGAGATTGTTCTGTCGTCTTTTTTTTTTTTTTTTCAGTTGTACAATTATTGAGCAAAGAATTAAGAGATATTTGAATGATAAATAATAGAGAACATAAAAAATAGTCATTAAAAATAAAGTTAGAAATATCTAGAAACAAATGTTTTTATTATATACTTTGCCCTCAAAAAAATGTTTTTAATATAGTCAATGTTTGGGGTCTAATTTTCTCGTTTGCGATTATTTTTAAGTATGTAATTTCTTAAATTCGTAATGAAAATTTTCTTTTAAAAAAATGTTTTTAATGTATACTTAGTTCTTCTTTTTTCTAGGATTATTTATGTTAAAATAAAAAGAAATAATTTTTCAAAAATTACTGAGAAAATAAAGAGAAGTCATTTTTTTAGAAAATTTAATATATACTTACCCTAAAAAAATGTATTTAATATATGCTTAGGTATTTATTTAAGTTAAAATAATAAAAAATAATTTTGCAAAAATTAGGGAATCAAGCTAGATATAATGAGAAGTCGTTTTTCTCGAAAATTTAATTAACACAATTAAGTTCAATGTCATAATAATTAGTTTAGATTTTCCTAATAATAAGAGGGTACTGTTGCTTGAAAGGCGGGTTAGGCGGTTAGTTGCTTTGATGGCCTTCCCTTAAGCCTGCAACTTTTTTGTAAATCAAGATCTTCCTTTCGTGTTTGGTTCGATCGATCAACAAAAAAAATGGAGAAGAAAGGAACGATTCTGATGCAAAAGTATGAGCTCGGACGCTTGCTCGGACAAGGCACATTCGCTAAGGTTTACCACGCCAGAAGCCTGAGCTCCGGCGAAAGCGTGGCCATCAAAGTCATCGACAAAGAAAAGGTGAACAACAACGGCTTGATGGACCAAATCAAGCGAGAAATCGCCGTAATGCGGCTGGTGAAACACCCCCACATCGTAAACCTTCACGAAGTTATGGCCAGCAAGAGCAAGATCTACTTCGCCATGGAGTACGTCAAAGGCGGCGAGCTTTTCGACAAGGTGGCGAAAGGAAGGCTCCGGGAGGACTTGGCGCGGAAGTACTTCCAGCAGCTGATCGGGGCCGTCGATTATTGCCACAGTCGCGGCGTCTACCACCGCGATTTAAAGCCCGAGAATCTGCTTCTCGACGGGAATGGTGATCTCAAGGTGTCGGATTTCGGGTTGAGTGCTTTGCAGGATTCAAGACGGCAGGACGGGCTTCTCCACACGACGTGCGGGACCCCGGCGTACGTCGCTCCGGAGGTGATCCACCAGAAGGGTTATGATGGGGCCAGGGCGGATATCTGGTCTTGTGGGGTGATTCTGTTTGTGTTAATGGCGGGGTATCTTCCTTTCAGTGAGCAGAAACTGATGGACTTGTATAGGAAGATTTTCAAGGGGGAATTCCGGTCTCCGCAGTGGTTTGCTTTGGAGGTTCGGAAGCTTCTTTCGAGGATTCTCGACCCGAATCCGAGCAAAAGAATTAGCATTGCCAAGATTATGGAGAACAGGTGGGTGAAGAAGGGTTTTAAGCATTTTGGTCAAGCTCAATTACCCTCTAATTCCAATGACAAGACGTCGGTAAGCGATGTGGATACTGCGTTTTCGATTGCGGATTGCGAAACACCTTCGAAGATGAATTCAGGGGTAGTAGAAGAAATGACAAAGGCAGATCCTCCTCTTCCTATGATCAAGACTAGTTATTTCAACGCGTTTGACATAATATCTCTTTCGCCGGGGTTTGATCTCTCCGGCTTGTTCGAGAAGGATAATCTGATTCCAAGGCTGCCTGCGAGGTTCACCAGCAATAAGCCCGCCTCGGCAATTATCTCCAAGTTCGAGGAAATCGCGGCGACGGAGAGGTTTAAGCTTGAGAGGAAAGATGGAACGGTTAAGTTGCATGGGAGAAGGGAAGGGAGGAAAGGGCAGCTCGGGATAGATGCCGATATTTTCGAGGTAACGCCGTCGTTTCATGTTGTGGAGCTGAGGAAAACGGCCGGTGATACGTTGGAGTATATGGAATTTTATGACCATGGCTTGAAGCCTTCTCTTAAGGACATAGTTTGGACTTGGCAAGGTTGTGCAGTCGAGGGTCAGCAAGAATAATTGTTTCTTAATTTGTTTTTCCCTTTTTTTTGTTTTTGTTTTATTTGAAAATTTCCTTGTAGATAAGTTGCTAAATCTTCCTAAGTCTCATTGATACACTGTGAACTTTTTATAATCCCGTTTCTTATTCAGTGCTCCTCCTTTTACCTACTTTTTCTGGTGTCTTTCGTTTCTCATTTTCTTCCCCTGTGTATCTAATGTGCCCTGAATTTGCTTACAAAACTATGGCTTTATAACATTTACACTTTCTTTTTATTTCTTCATAAATTACATAATGAGAAAAATGGGAATGCACGTCACTCATACATGGCTTCTACCTAAATCTGAAGTGTTTTTACTATAACAACTAGCAGAAAAAAGCAAATAGAAGAAACGTTTGCTAATAAAGTTAAGGAGTCTATAGAAAAAATGTTGTGTAACATGCACAAGTAACATGCAGTTAACAAAGGTGTGCCCATCTTGAGATTGATGCGTGAATTGTTTACGTTTTCTGGTACCAATGAAAATCACACATTTGGTTCATGGATTAGAATCATTTTCGATTTACGTGTATTTTTTATGAGAGAAAACACTGTAGAGAATTATGAATTATGATTCAAATCATGGCTTGAATCCTCGAACCAAACATACTCTTCCTGTTTGAAGATACCTTCATGTTAAATTGTATCCCTATCTGATTAAGTCCCTCAAAATCCTTTGATTTCCTTTTGTGTAACCCTTTTTAACATAGAATATAACTTGCAAGCTATGTACTTGCATCTCGATTTGATCTTATGAGATGTTGGTGTTTTTACATGGGAATCTGAGACTATTTATTCATTGTTTAATAATTAATAGGACAATCCTTAATTAGAACTTGAAGGCAAAGCAGTTGTGTATCTTGAAAAAGTTTATTTTGTGTTGTCAATATGGGATGCAGATCAACAATGGAAAATTTCATGTAAAACACCAAATGTCCCAAATGAGTTACACATTATATACTCAGTGTGACATAATAGTGTCATATAAATTACACATTATGTTATACTTAGGTCCATGACTCACCCCTCCAACAAAAAAGGAACTGTCTGACAAATGAACATACAAGAAGTGTCAACTCCTTTATACGCTGGTAGCACGTGTCCGCCGTTTCTAATCCGGCTGTCGGATGCAAGAGTATGCCTATATAAATAATGAAACCTTCGGGAAAAGAAAAGGGCAATAGTTTGATCAGTATGGGAATTATGTGGCCCATTCTATATGCATTCTCTCCTTTAGATGCGCTCTCCTTCTGGGTTACTCTCCTGGACAATTAATTTGGAGTGCTGTTTTGTTAGGAGGGATGGGAATTATGTGGCCCATTTCCTTGCTTCTTTTGTTTACCAGTTTGATCAGGATTTTACAAGGGTTGATATCGTCCCTTACTCTCCATTAATCTTCTTTTTAGTCAAACAACCATTTTTTGTCAAAAAGGTATTAAGCAAAAATAAGGATTAAAAATCCAGAAGAAAGATTTCCTTCACTTGCATGGAATGCAATGAGTAAGTCGGATAGTGGATTGAATTCTTTCTACTCATTAAACTAGCATTCCTGTTTTACTTTGATGACACACGTGAATGTAATTTGATTCACTTCCTTAAGAGGGTGTTTAGTATGCAATAATCTTGAGCATAAGAATGGAGATTCACAAGATTACCATGTTTAGTACAACAATTGTAATTTTTTCATTCCCACTTTACCTCATTTTGAGGTAATTTAAAACCCACTCACCATGGTGTTATTCATTTTCCCAGGAATCTAAATACCAAGATAAAAAGTTCAACAGACCGCAACCATCACAGACTTGTCATCGCACACCATCACATCCCACAAATCTATCACCACACCCCACAGATCTGCCGTCGCAAACCCACCACCACCACCATAGATCTGGCGTTGCAAATCTTAGCGACTGTAGATCCGCTGTTGTAGAAGCACCCATACCACCATAGCTCGCCATCCTTACCATGGCCGCCAAAAACCATCTCCCCACCAACTCATCTCCGGAGCTCGCCCATGTCCGCCTTGGATGCCGAACTCCCCCTCCCTACCAAGGTCCTGACCGGAGCTTTGTGAAGTCGCCGGATCTCGTCGGACCTTGCCGGAATCATCTTCCTCTTCATCGTTGCCGCTTCTCATCGTTGCCGCTTCTCAGATCTAGATGTCTTCATCGCAGCCCCTCGTTCGATGCCCATATCCCCATTTCTAGCAGAGCTCGCCATGACTCTGCGAGACCAATGACAGAAACTAACCCAGGCCCCCTCAAATCTAGTTGCCGCCTTCAAGATCGGCAGCTCCTCACCATTGCTCGCCTACCTCCATCGTAGTCACTTCCATCGCAACTCCTAGCTTGGCCCTCTAACGTCGTCGCTAGCCCCCCTCGCTAAGCAGATCTTGTTTAATCGTTCCTTATCGTAAGGGAAGGAGACGAGTGGGAGACAGACGAAAGACCAACGTGTTTTTTTTTTTTTTCACTTGGTAATTTTATCTATTAAATTTAACAAATTGATTTGTTATTAAATAAATTACAAAAAAAGTTGAGTTATTTTTTCTACAATTTAATTTTTTAAAATATTTTTATAATATTTGAAAAAAATAAATCTATGTTGTTAAAAATATATAATCACCTAATTTAACAAAATTAACAAAATTTAATTGGTTTTTAAATGTTTAAAATTATTGCTTTTATAAAAAGATCACCTTATATTACTATGCGCAACTAAATACAATAAAATAGTGTTGAGTGAAAATTTTTATACATAATCAAACGTGACAATACATATTTTTCAGAAATCATATTATTTTTTATCATTTTATCTGTAAAATAATTCGTACTAATTACTGCATACTAAATACTTTTTAAATATTTTTACGGTTATTTTTTTAAAATATTTTGAACAAAGAATTAAGGACGCAAAAATTTGTCATTTGGATTGTTTCAATGGCTTCTGCACTACTTGCTGACAAATAGGCTATTATCTCTATGAAATGTCAATTTTTGCTAGCATACAGTGAACTTATTGCTTCCATAAAAAATAATTTGCACATAATGAGGAGCCTGTTTGGTTAGAGAATTCGTTCTCTGATTCGAATCATGATTCATAATTTACTATAATATTTTTTCTCATAAAAAACTTACATAAATAAAAAATAATTTTAATCTCATAATTTTAATCCATGAAATAAACAGATTCCGTTAATTTTAAACGTTTTACTGCCCATGTCAACGAAGGTGACATCATATAAAAGTTTACAAATTGTATACTTTATTTTCCAAAAAAAAAAAAAAAAAAAAAAAAAAAAAAAAACCTCCTTATTATCCAGTAACGACAAGTGTTTAATCCACGTGAATCTTCCGTGAAGCCGTGGTCACATCTAACGGATGATGTTAAAAAATCAAACACGTCACCGACATTGATTATTAGATATCTAATGTAGTGCTTGTAACATAAATACGGTCCTTAAAATATCTGAAATTCTAATCATCTCACAATAAAAAATAAAAAATAAATCCCTATAAATTGCGTTGCAACAAATCAACACCGACCATGATCAAGTTGACAATGCTCACGCGAGAATGTACTTCTTTTAATACTCTACATCATGATTAAAAAATAAAAATAATATTTTAATTAAGACTGACAATCTAAATAGAGACACGGTGACACGATTTAAAACTCGTACGAAGTTAATGAGTTTGAATTTACTATAAATAAATTTAAGTCATAATTGGGTTGACATGATTAACACGATTAATAAATAAATTGAATTAGGGTTAACCTCTTAACATGAAGTGACACGAATTGACACGATTAACTATATGTGTCATCTGTAATATAATGATATGTGATATAATATGAAAATTTATATGACATATTAAATACAAATAATGTGAATTTTAATATTTGTAGGTAAAATTCATTTATTTTTCTTAAAAAAAAGATAAATTGACTAATAAATATGTTAAACCTATCTTGATCGTGTTAAATAAGTCATAATTATATTAATTATTTATTCAATATATTAATTTAAATGAGTTATACGAGTTGATACGATTAACACGATTAATAAATAGATCATGTTTAGATTGACATTTTTAACACATTTAATAAACAAATCGTGTTTAAATTAATATTTTTTAACACAATTTATAAACAGATTGATACGAACGCGATCTATTAATACAAATTACTATCCCTAATTTTAACGATGGAGCCATAATGTATTTCTTTTTAATATTCTCGCAAAATTCTTTCTTTTTATTAAAAATTTTTTTTTTTAAAAAAAGGGGAAAAGAGATGCATGACTGGAAGGAAGCTGGGTCCAACCAGGAACTTCTCTGGTTCTCAGGGCCTCTCTAGAGATTCCAGCCTCATATTTTTTTTTCTTCTGCCCTATTGACTCTATCCAGTTCTAGCTCCGATACCAAGAGAGCCGTTAAAAGTGAAAAAAAAAAATTTAAGACTTAATCAACGTTCACATTGAACTGTCAAATGAATAATCTTCATATTATATCTATATATATCTATCTGTAAATATGATTGATAAATAATTTGCTGATGTTATTGGATTTGAATCGAAAAAGAAAATATAAGAAAAAGAAATATGCTGGCGCTTTTAACAAAAGTAAATAATAAACTCAAGCCTTTCAGCTTTGTTTATTTTGGATCGACACATGGTGCACTATTTATTTATTTATTTTATTTATCTTGAGAAAATCATATTGCATTATTTCAATTTTCCATTTACTTTTAAATTTTCATTGATTTATTTCTTCTTTTTTTTTTTTTTTTTTTAAAAAAAAGAAGAAAAAAACATTTCAAAATTTTGCTCAACGCCCCCCGGCGAAAAAAAAAAAAACACTACTTTCGTTAGTATCAAAAGAAGAAAATGAAATAATTGAAAATTGTATTTGTAGTTAAGGTGCAAAGCGCCAAAAGAAAAAAAAAAAAATTCTTAAAAAGTAAATTGTGAGAGTTACCATTTCAAAAAATAAATTGTGAGACTTACTTAAGAAAATTGAAATTAAGCCCAAAAAAGGGGAAAAAACTAATGTGTCCCAGTTTGGAGAGAGATTTTAGAAAATTTTATAATATATAAGAAGTAAAAGGACCTTTTTCTTAGAGCGTCACCTTCTTTTTAAAAGTTTTTATAATTTTATTTGGATAATCAACAAAATAGTGCTTTCAATAATGTACTGGCAAAGGGGAAAAAAAAAGGAGAAAGATATGAACTTTTTTTTTTCTTTTTAAATGAAAGAGGTGGGCATTAGGTTTAGGAACATAACTTTTTCCATGTCAAAATACTTTTTTTTTCTTTTTTCTTCTCTAGTTGAATTCCCAGTCCAAATGTCCAATTACCTGCATAAAAGTGTTTGAAAAAAATTATATTTATTGGTAATCATAATATGTCACTTTACTGATAACATGTGGAGCATAGTTGTATGTGTATCCTTTCTTTATTTTTTTAAAGAAAAAAAATGAGTTATTTGTAGTCCGTCAGTTTAAAAATAGGAGACAAATCCTTGTTTCATAATAGGCCCATGTGTTATCATAATCAGTTGAAAGTCTAACGTAATTTTTTTATATTAAATTATAATAGTTATTATTTAAAAAATTAAAACTTATTTTTAAACATAAAATAATAAATAGCTATCATAATAACAGTTATTCTTGTTTTTAAACATTATTTATTATATGAAAAATATTAAAAAACACATCAATAAACGATTGTTATTTTTACTGTTACTATCAGTTGTTCAATCGTAATTGATTGTCGTGTTTTGACAATTATTTTTTTTTTTAAAGAATTACATCTATCGTGTTCTTTTTTTGATAGGCACATCCGATCATGCATGAATTTTTTTAGAGCAGTGAGTGACATTGTTTATTTGATATATACTTAAAAATGACTTCTGATTCCCAAAGAGTAATAGTTACGACTCAATATAAGAGAATTATGTCAATTATTTAACCGGTTACGTTAATCTTTCAATGAGTTAGAATGTGAAAAATTTCTCCAATAAAAGTGGTAGGGAATCACAGAAAAGTCCTACAAGTTCTTCAAGTAGGACATATATTTTAACTTTTAAATGTTTATTATCCGTGATAAATATGAAAAGTAAGCGTTTTTAGCCTAATGTCAAGAAGAAGATGTTCATTTTTTTTTTAAGTAAAATAAATGAAGAGGGTTATGTATGTCCTACAAGAAGGACCCATATATATATATATGTTTATCTTTTTAATGTTTATTATTGGTGATTTTCTGGATTAATGTCAAGAAGAATATTATTATCCTTTTTTTTAAAAAAATAAAAAAAATATGTTCAAGAAGATTGTTAATATAGTGAAAATCAAATAAACGTTTTCAAATAATAAGAATATGCAAAAAAAAAAAAAAAATTTTTTAAAAAAAAAAAAAAAAAAAAAAAAAAAAAAAAAAAAAAAAAAAAAACATAAAGGCCTCTTTTGTCGGAGAAAGAAACATCTCAGCAGCAGTGGTGGCTTTCTTATTGCAAAGTTGCAAACCCTCCAAAACACAGCAAAGCAGAAATTAAAAAAAAAAAACAATAATAATGAAAAAACGAGTGAACTCATTTGGTTTAAATTTAACAATAATAATAAAAGTTTTAAAAATGAAAAAACGAGTGAACTCATGAAAATGGTATATTCCATATACTCTATTTCTCACCCCTATAAATTAAAAGACATCTCTCTTCTGGCCAAACCAAATTGAAAGTCTCTCCTTTTACACACACCACTCAAACCAACCAAAAACCGCACTCCCCACAAATTAGGACAAACACGACACAGCAACAACAACAAGATAAGAAAAAAACTCATTTCTCTTTCTTGTTCTTCTCATTTCAAATGAAAAACTTGAACACATAGAAAGTTAGAAACCAAACAAACCCTAGAAGAACCAAATCAGAATCAATGGCCGACAACAAAGCCGGCCCTAGCACCAGCTTCAAGAAGGACATCCATGGCGGCGCCGGCGGTCTTTTGCTAGGGCGGTTCGAGATAGGGAAGCTTCTCGGCCATGGAACCTTCGCGAAGGTCTACCTCGCTCGGAACGCCAAGTCCGGCGAGAGCGTCGCGATCAAGGTCATCGACAAGGAGAAGATCCTCAAAGGAGGCTTAATCGCCCACATCAAGCGCGAGATCTCCATCCTCCGCCGCGTCCGCCATCCCAACATTGTCCAGCTTTTCGAGGTCATGGCCACCAAGGCCAAGATCTACTTCGTCATGGAGTACGTCCGCGGCGGCGAGCTCTTCAACAAGGTCGCCAAAGGGAGGCTCAAGGAGGAGGTCGCGAGAAAGTACTTCCAGCAATTGATCTCCGCCGTCGGATTTTGCCACGCCCGCGGCGTCTTCCACCGAGATCTCAAGCCGGAGAATCTCCTCCTCGACGAGAACGGTAATCTCAAGGTATCTGATTTCGGATTGAGCGCCGTCTCCGACCAGATCAGGCAGGACGGCCTCTTCCACACGTTTTGCGGAACGCCGGCGTACGTCGCGCCGGAGGTCCTGGCCAGGAAGGGCTACGACGCCGCGAAGGTAGATATCTGGTCTTGTGGTGTGATCTTGTTCGTTTTGATGGCTGGTTATTTGCCTTTCCATGATCAGAACGTTATGGCGATGTATAAGAAGATTTACAAAGGCGAATTTCGGTGTCCGAGATGGTTTTCGCCGGAGCTAATTAGGCTTCTGACGCGTCTTCTGGATACAAATCCGGAGACGAGGATAACAATCCCAGAGATTATGGAGAATCGGTGGTTTAAAAAGGGATTCAAACACATCAAATTCTACATTGAGGACGACAAGCTCTGTAAAGTAGAGGACGTATTTGAGAAGCAGGAAACGGATGACACTAGCTCGGTTTCAGATATGTCGGAATCGGATTCTGAAATTGAGACTCGGAGGAAGCTTACGACGCTGCCGAGACCGGCCAGCTTGAATGCTTTTGATATAATTTCGTTCTCTCGGGGGTTTGATTTGTCCGGATTGTTCGAGGAAGGTTCCGACGAGGCAAGGTTCGTGTCCGGTGCGCCGGTTTCAAAGATAATATCGAAATTGGAGGAGATTGCGAAAGTTGTGAGTTTTACAGTGAGGAAGAAGGATTGCAGGGTGAGCTTGGAAGGTTCCAGAGAGGGCGTGAAGGGTCCATTGACGATCGCGGCTGAGATATTCGAGTTGACACCGTCATTGGTGGTGGTGGAGGTGAAGAAGAAAGGAGGGGACAGAGCAGAGTATGAGCATTTCTGCAACAAAGAATTGAAGCCCGAAATGGAAAAATTGATGCTTGAGGAAACTACTGTAAATGTTTCTGATGCTTCTTTGAATTTGCCGTCGGATACTGAATAGAGACAGTGAGAGAGGAAGAAGAAAGAGAAGGGAAAAAGGGTATGCTTTTTCTTGATCACTCGCTCTCTCTGTTTTTTGTTCTTTGATAATACTTGTGTATGATAAATTTTCCTCTTTTGATCGTTTTTTTTTTCTCTTCTCAATTTTCTTTCTTTGACTGTGCCTGTCGGGGGACCTAGATATAGAGATGTCAACGTATATTGTAAGTTCTGTTCTTTGTACGGAGAAAACTAATCTGGACAATAGATAATGCAATACACATTCCGCTTACTTTCCGTTCTGTTTTTGTATTATCACATTTTGGCAATCAAATGGAAGACAGAGAGAGAAACGTAAGAGTGAGGAATTTCTCATTTCATCTGGTGTGTGCAATTTCCCTATAAGGTATATATTCCCAGCGCATTGGTAAAGCTTCAAGTTTAGATGAAATCATGAAATGGTAAGTGACATTTATGGAAAATATGGATTTGAATTGTGCTGTGTTATCAACGGTAAGAAAAGCATTTGAATTAATCTGTTTCAACCTTAAAGTTGGCGCTGACTGAGTTTAATGGTTGTGCTGGAGGAGGAAAATAGTTAGAACTTAGAAGCGACCCTTTGATACCAAACCCTGAAGTTCTGGAGAATGACCATTTCCTGTCTCGTTTTAATTGGATCCTTATTGTTTGAACGATCAGGCCGCCGGTTTGTTATTTTAGACGCATACACGCAAGAAAGGAAAACCACAAAAGAAAAGAGAAAACCCGTGAACCAAACATACCTTGCAAAAGTGAAGTCAGTGAGTGTATCTTAAAATGAGTTACTACTAAATCTAGTGTAGAAACTTGATTTTTTACTTGGTAATGGTGGATGGGTATTTGTGCAAATGACCATTATCGTCTTGAGAGAATATGGTGTTCTGTTACTGTCCAATGTCCAATGTCCACTGTCCACTGTCCGGTAGTCTTGCATCCATCTTGAGAGAATGTCGTAGTTGTGTTGCAGATGTGATGGACTTGTAGATTTTGGGGGATCAATTGGCAACGCAATGTAAGAGGGCGTTATTAGGTATCTCTTTTAACTTTTTTGCGTAAGAGATGTCAGTTTCATCACCTAAATTAGGGTCTTAGCCCTTGTATGCATGTAATGTAGACACAGCAAAATCTAATGAAAGCACCCTGATGTCTTTCAATTGATTGCACATTGCTTATCTGTTTGATAATAGTTTTGCACAAATTGGTCCATCTGGCTGTCTAGTGTCTAGGACCAGATTGGGTTTTGCTAAATTGGGAAGTTAGCCATGGGACCATTGATCTATTTATTTTCCATGGGACCACAAAAACTATAATGTCACGATTTATTATCTGCACAAAATTTGTTTTTCTTTATTGGGGGACGCATGAGAAGGGAACAAAGGAAGTTGCATCGCTTTTAGTGGTCATTGAGAATTTCTCTTTTACAAGAAATCGAGTATGTTTGCTCAAATTTTTGAGTAGAAATTTAAATTTTTGTGAGAGAAAACACGTAGCAAAAAAGTTCAAATTGTGAACCAAACAACGACCATGAGAATTATTTAAAGAGAACGGAACTTTTGTTGTATCTGTATGGTCAGGTCTGTATTTCCTTTTTGTTTCCCCTGAATTTTTATGTAAATTTGTAATGCAGTTTATGTATTTTCTACGGTTATTTTGTTGGACTGCTCCCTCAAAAAGTCGAACCAACTGACATTTGAGATAAACTATTCATTCAGTAATGTGGCCAAGGAATATTCTTTGAACTAAATACACCTGCAGTGCAGAATGTGATCTTTTTCTAATTAACTATTCATTAGATGACGGAATCTCTAGCTTCCGATGATGAGCGATTTTCTGATGTTTGTTCTTTAGCAAAAGGCCACTCTGGTTGTCTGTACTAATGAAGGCTAATTTGGAACCATTGCTTGTCCATTATTTTGGAACTTTGATTTGGAGATTACGCGGGGGAGAATTTTCCCCGGTCTTGTAAATGTTGGTTGTCATTGATTTCATTCATTAAAACATTTCGGGCTATTTAGTTCTCACTGTGTACCAGGCTGGGATTCCCCATCAATCATTCTGTATTGATATTTACTTGAATACAGTTTTGCGCTTATCAGGAAACATGGGTTTTTAAACCTCTAATGATGCTTGAGAAATTATCTGACTATTTTTTTTTTTTTTTGATAAATTATTCGACCATTTTTGTTGCTAATTTCATATTACGTAAATTTTTATGGTCTTTGTAAGGGTTCAATATTCCTTGAATTAGATTTAGAGAGGGTAGTTTGGCCCGTCTTAATTTGGACGTGGGACAGGACATTTAATTTAGGAAGAGAGAGAAATAGATCAAGATTTGAGATGAATTAAAATTAATAAGTCAATAGTTTACATAAGTTAATAAATAAGTTAAATTACTGTTTTCATTCATAACTTGTCTGGTTATGAATCATAACTTGACAAATTATTCACAATTTTTGTCCATAACTTGTTTAGTTATGAACCATAACTTGACAAGTTTGTCCATAATTTATCTAGTTATGAACTATAACTTGACAAGTTATGACTTATTAATTTCTATAACTAAAAGTTGGTTTATATATTTTCTTAAGGTTTTCATATCGGCCTATTTTCTACCATTTCCATTTAATTTATATTATGAAGAATAAGAAATTAAACTCGAGAACCATGAACTCCCTAATGCATCTCAAGACTCCAAAGCCCTAACAAGTGTTCAAAAAAAAAAAAAAGCTCCAGAACCAAATCGTCAGGCCACTAAGATGTCGAATCATCTTCCATTGTAGCTTCTCATGTTGTCGTGGTTTTCTAACCCATTAAAAGTAGACGCTGAGATAGCGCTTTTTTGATACGACTTCTTCTAATTACAGTGGAATTTGATAAAGATAAAATGAATTAAAACTGTAACGCCTGTTTGGTGTACAAGATTAGAAAGGACTACATAGAATTAAATTTTAGATGGTGTTTGGTACGATGATTCGTGTCATGGTTCGAATCATGATTTGTGGGTCGCTACATTATTTTTTCTCACAAAAAATACACGTAAATTAAGAATGATTTTGAATTTGTGAACTAAACGTCTACTTAATACTGTATTTAGTGAAAATTACTGGATTGGATAAAAGTTTATCCAATCCATGCTAAATCCCCTTGAAGGTGATTCAACTATCCCCTGCTTAGGCATCATATTACACGCAGCAAACTTTTAACTAGAGCACGATCGATTTGCAAAATATTAAAGTTTGAGGTCTAACTTTAATTTTTTTTAAAAAGAGGGGTCAAAATGTAATTTTATGTTATTTCAATATTTTAAAAAATATATTTTTCCCTCTCAAATTGTGAAAAATCAAAATTTAACCACAAATTTTAAAATTTTTTACAAACAGACCCTTATCCTAATAATACAACAATTACATGGAATTGGGTTAAACTAAAACTTAATCCTATCATTTCTTATACATTTCAATCTATTCTTCTATGACCGTCCTATCCAATATTGTTTGTGGGATTGCCTTGCCCATTTACGCTCCAACCTTGGATATGCACTCTTTTTTATTGACGACAAACTTCCCTCGGTTTTGGAGAAATTTATTTTTCACACGTAATTAAAGAGAAGGAAAAAAAAAAAAAGGTGGTGGTTATCAAAACGAACTATCAAAGTTGGCTGAGGCGATTTCAGCTCACCTAAATTACAACTACCACAACGCTTTGACAAATTAATCATAAATTAAGTGAACGTTTGGTTTATGAATTCAGAACTATGATTTAGAACTATTTTCAATTTATGTGTGTTTTTTATGAGAGAAAAGACTGTAACGAGTCACGAACCATGATCTGAACTATGACACGAATACTTACTCCAAACGCATCCTAAGTTCCCAAAATCTAAAAGCTTATGTTTTTAATTAACTGCTCGTACAGAGAATCATGAATAGTTCTCTGATCCATTAAAATTTAAAACCATGTGGCATTAGCTAAACTAATATGGTATCACCACAGACATGAAAAGTAGATATTTCTTGTATAGCATGCCAATTGCTAAAAAATACTCTATAATGTTCGTTACATTTGAATTTCTTAAGGCAAAACCGGCCAAAGTTAGGTAATGTGCTGGCTGGTTCTGTTGCGCATTCAATTAAAATATGCTAAAAATAGTAGGTAACTGGTGTACGTTACCATTTCTGTGACAACAACATTAAGAACCAAATGACAGTTGCCAAATGTGACCAAGTATAATGCAGAGTTTTGCTGTCCGAGAATCCAAACTGTTGACTTTGAGATGTGTGGTGTGCATTAGATGCTAGTTACTTTTCTGCCTCATCAAAATCTGCAACAATAATTTTAGTCACGTGAGTGTAGAATGCAGATGCGTCAATAAAATATGAAAGGCAGTGTTTTTTTTTTGAATTTCTCTGCGGGTTGATGTCAAGAATTTAATATAAAGGTGCTTTAGTATCATTAGCTGATGCTAAGAAAACATTATTGAAGCACATAGGAAATTAGTGTACTGAGTGTGTTCTTTTTACAACTTAAATTTTTTAAGTGAGTGAAAATACTTTAATAAGAAAAATAGTTGGAATTTGAATTTTGTAAGAAAAATACTGTAATAAAAAAGTTTGAGTTGTAAAAAAACAAAACGTCTTAAACAAAAAAAGGGGAAATGAGAAAAGATCTATTATTGAAAGAGTTTATTAAATTGATTCACTCTCAATCTATCATCATTTGCATGTTATCTCTTAAATTTTTAATTTTAATATTTAGGATTCTACAATTTATAATTCTTGGAAATGTAGTACAGTAAAATATGGACTTTAATTTGTGAATGGCAATTAGGGTTCAAACTGAAAAAATTTAAGAAGTTCAAAGGTTCGACTTGGCAACTAATAAAAAGTCTATGGTGCAATTGTACATGTAAGAGATGACAGTGGGGGTTTTTTTTTTTTTTTTTTTCTGAATTAATACTTGGAAGATTCTTTTATACGCTTAGTGTACTGGTATGTCAAGTTTTTATAACCGTTAGATCTACGTATTTTTTTTTACTTTTACGTGATTTTATGCAGATCTGACGGACAAAAAACTTAACTTACCGGTATGTTGGCGTGCCGGATAAGATTCCTTAATACTTTTATGCTATAAAACTGTTAATTCAGCAAAAATAAAAATAAAATATTGTCATCTATGACATGTCAATTTTAAGCCATTGTCGTTTATTAAGTCATTCTTCTTTCTTCAAGACTTGTTATCGTTGTTTTATATTCTACGTCGATTTTAAGCCGCTCTCTGTTTTTAGTTCACGACCGTCACCGAACCTACACCCTTTTTTTACATTGTTGGCATTTTCCGTAATGCTGTTGAGTTATATGATGTGTTTGAAATTGTTCTTGTTTTTATTTTTCACATTTTTTGAGAAAGAAAAAATAAAAACGATTCTAAAATGGCGTTTGGCACAATTAAAGACAAAAAAGAGAAATGAAAACGATTTTTTAGTTTAGTGTAAAATGATAGAGAAATGAAAAATGACTAAAAGTCATTTTTTATTTTTTATTTTCGTTTTCTCATCTCTTGAGCATAGAGAGATATTAATGGGTTTTTTATACTGAAAAAATTCTCTTGATAAAATTATCAAACGCATTTTCTAAAATAATTTCTGTCTGAGATTGAAAACATTTTCATTTCTATTTTCATACAAAAAATAAAATCATTTTGAAACGAGTTTCAAACGCACCCAAAAGTTTGTCATCTTTTGGTTTC